GTGTGTGTGTGTGTGTGTGTGTGTGTGTGTGTGTGTGTGTGTGTGTGTGTGTGTGTGTGTGTGTGTGTGTGTCATGGGGAGAGCAGAGGTAGAGGGAGGCACAAGGGGATATATTGGGGTCAGGAGAAGATGTGGCCAGGGCAGTCCCATGCCCCCCATTTGATGCCTATGCAAAGCTCCCTGGGGCCAAAGAGCTGTCCTAGCCTGCACAGCCCTAGCAGCTCCGGGATAAGGGCCATGCCAGCTGGCTCCCCTGTGTCCCTGGGCTGGTGCTGGGCTGCAGGCTGAGGTGTGCAGGCCCTTCTCCCTGAGAGTGCTCCTTGGGGAGGTAGTTGCAGAGAGCTGTGCCACCAGCTGTGCTGCCGGTGTGAGAGCTCCGAGGAAGGACTGTGGCTGAGTCAGGACTAGGAGTCTGGTTACCCCTACGCCATCCTTGGACTGTCTCACCTAGCCTGCTGGGAATGCTCAGACAAAAGCAAAGCCCGGACAGTGGTGCCTCTGGGGGCTCCTCAGGCAGCACGAGCAGCCTGAGTGGAGCCAGGCCCTGTTGCTGCATGAGGCTGATGCAGGGATGAAGGAGCTCAGCTCTCGGAGCAGGCTGGCTGGCTGGCTGGCAGTGTCTCCTAGTGACATCAGAATTTTGCGCTCTTGTCATATCTGTCAGACCCAGCCGCTACCTGAATCCCTTCAGACTAGGTCACATGACCCAGGCCTACTGCACACTCGGCCAGGACCCTGTCCCTCCCACAGCCTGACACTAGGCTCCCTCCCACAGCCTGACACTAGGCTCCCAGCAGTTGTGATCACTGCTATTTTGAATGGCCTGATCTCTGCCTACTTTAAAACCCGTACACCGGAGAGATATCAATGTCATCATTCGACAGGCCTTTGGCTGGGCTGATGAAAGACTATTTTAAACTCCGGCTTCAGTCACTCCACCTGACTTTCGGCAAAGAGATGTGCTTTCAATATCAAGCAAACTCCGCAGACTGCCTGGACCGAGTGGCTTGGCCTCTTTTCTCCACTAGCATTTTAAAATACAGATGCACCCATCATCATCGCTGGAGGCATGCTCAGTGCTAGCAAGCAGGCAGAGGGCTCTGTTTCAAGATGCTGACCCATGACCTCCCTCTGTGACAAATAACAAAGCAATATGCAAGTGAGGAGCCTGAACTCTGCTGGAGGCTGCCCCTCGTTCCTGCACCAGAAATTGCTGCAGAAATCTATACATCTTTTAGTGAAAGGAGTTTTATGAATGCAGGCCTGATTCTGCAAGCTCACATGCCCAAACGGACCCTGCACCAATGAGAAGTCCTGTTAGGGCCCATTGTGGGTGCAGGGCTCTAGGAGCTTGTGGGATCAGAGCTTTGGGCAGAAATAGTTTGGCAGGCAGGCTATAAGTGGCCCTTGGGGAAACACCTGAGTGCTATCTACAGTGTCACACTGTAACCCTAAACACTTTACACCCCAAGGCCAGAGAGCAGGATACCTAGGGTTTCCATATGTTAACAAGGGACACACAAAACCTGGGAGCTGACACTGGAGAGAATGGTGCAAATTTCATGTCTCCTGCAGCCCGGGAGGGCAGTAATGCAGAGGCCGGTGTGCACAACAGCACTTCCTTTAGGGAGTTCACAGCGATCGGCATGAACCCTCCTTCCCGGAGTCCCATCACACTGTCTTCCTATCACAATCACTCTCGGCAGCCTGCATCACAAAAGTCTCCTTACACAAGACTGGTTTTAAACCAACTCCTATTTCTGGAGTGACAAGGAAAGCCCACAATTAGAATAAAAATCATGCCAAGCTTGAAAAAACGATATTTCTGACAAGAACTATAGGCTGAGCCTTTTTCTGTTACAATACTAATTGTCATCATTACGCTGCGTGAGAACTAGCACTTCCGTAGTGCAGTGCAGCTGAGGATTTCAAAGCACTTTACAAAGGTGGGTAAGTGTCACGAACCCCATTTATCAGATGGGGAAAATTCAGCACCGAGGGGTACAGTGACTTGCCCAGGGTCAGCTAGTGAGTCAGTCACAGAGCTGCAGTAGCCCCTAACTCCAGCTCTCACTGACATCAAAGGGAGCGTCTCCATGCCTGTCTGTGGGAGCTGGGGGTTGTGCTTGACATGACATTTGGGGCCAGGGATTCCCTCCGTGACTCATCGCCTATGAGCAATGCTGGGAGCAGAGCCACCTGCCGACAGAGGAAGCCATATCGAGCTCTGCTCCCAGGGCCGGCTCTAACTTTTTTTTGCTGCCCCGCCGTAACACCACTCCCCCCCAGCGCTGCACCGCCGCCCCTCCCCCCAGCGCCTTGCCGGGCCACCCAATCCCCCAAGCGCCGGGCTGTCCAAACCCCTGGAGCGCCCCGCCGCCCAAACCCCCCACCCCCAGCACTGCTCCGCCGAAACACCTCCCACCCCCCAGCGCCGCGCCGCCGAAACACCCCCCATGCTGCATGGCTGAAACAAAAACAATAGCCCTTGAGCGCCGCCCCGCCAAACAAAAAAACAAAAACACCACGAGCACCCCCCCCCGCCACCCCAACATTGGCTGCCCCTTCTAAGGTGCCGCCCCAAGCACGTGCTTGGTCGGCTGGTGCTGGAGCCGGCCCGGTCTGCTCCCTGTAGGCAGAGTCACCAGGAAGCAGGATGCTGGGGAGGGGGCTGCCATCATGACTGGTGTTCTATAAAAACCATGGACAGATCAGCCAGCAGGACGGAGTGTTGTGGTTTCCTGACCGAGAGCCAGACCTTGTCATCCTCACTCACTGGGCACTAACTTCCCCCATATGCCGCAGCACGACTGAACCCAGTGAGGCCTCAAACACCTGTGCGGGATGGTCTAGATAATAGTCCCAGGGGCGGAGGGTAAGTATCATAGGGCAGGGAAGGCTAAGGCCGAGGCTGTGGTCCCACCCACGCTCTGTCCACCCATCCTGAAGCTGGTGGGGGCTCAACTTCAGCTGCAGCCTGAAGCTCTGGGATCATCCGGTGGCCAGGGGCGGCTCAGGCTGGTGCTCAGGCCAGCCCAGGGATTGGGCCAGCTGGGGCAGCTCAGACTGGCCCCAGGGTCAGCGTGGCTGGCTGGGGTTGGGGCGGCCAGTGTGGCCCGGGGACATGTGACTGGGGTCGCTCAGGCTGGCCCGGGCCAGGCCAGCACAGCTTGGGCTGTGGGGGGCTTGGGGCTCTAGGTGTAGTGAGGGAGGAGGGATTGGGGAGGAGGGAGCTGGGGGGGTGGAGCTTCAGGTGGAAGGGGCGGGGCTGGTGGGCTAGCCTCCCCGAAAGTGGGGTTCACCTGCTGCCCATGCTTAGTCCTGCCATGAGTGCAGGGGCCTGGACTAGATGACCTCTCAAGGTCCCTTCCAGTCCTGTGATTCTATAGACATGCAGTCTCTGAGCCCCATGCACAACAGGTGATGGGGCCTGTAGCCATTCCTGCCACTTCAGGCCCTAGCACATGGCCCCTTTCTCCAGAGCAACCCACTCACTCCTGAGGGGTGGACGGTTAGGTCAAGAGACCATCCTGGGTTGTCTGATGGGACAGAGTTCCACTGTGCCCTGTTGACAGCTCCAGCAGAGGCAGGAGCTCAGCTCGAAGACTATCTAGGATGTGTTGTTAGGTTTGAGAAACACGATGGTCTGAAGTTCAGCCGTGCGCTTTAGACCGTGACGCAGAAAGGTCAGTCACTGAAAGCAAACGCCCCCCATCTCCCTGAGAGACACTCCCGTCTGTTTTTAGTGCACTGTTTTTAGACACTCCCGTCTGTTTATTGCTGTTTTTAGTGCACTAGCTTGAGCAGCGCTAATGTGTCTGTCTACCCAGGCTGGGAAGCACTCTTCCAGCTGCTCTGTGGAAATACCCTTCAACAGAGCTACCTTAAGGCAGCTCAGAAACATCAGCAAAAACCCAGTTCTCAAAACAAAAGTTCCCAACATACATCTGACCCTTCCTAGAATTATTTTGGCTTGGGACATCAGCTTTTTCTAGGATGCCAGGATGAAAGTTCAATTGTGCATGGGCCTTAAACCCTTTACAGTCTCTGTCCTGTAGGTTTCCTGTCATGACAGGAGTCAGGCTGGCATCAGACAACACAGGAGGCTTCAGGAACCATCACTATTTCTCCTCAATCCAACCCTTAAAACAATAGTCTCCTCCCAAAGAGAGAATGGGATGATACCGGAACTCAGACAGTGAATTCTTAGGGCTAGTAGCCAGTCTGAATGGCACATAGCAATAGTAGACTCCATCTAGTGCAGGGGGGAGGAGAAATGAAGAGCCCCCATCCCCAAAAGGGGCAGTGTTTGAAATTGTGGCTGACTTAAAAGGAGGGTGTATTGTATTTTACAGTAAACATGAGACACTAGTGCAGAATGCAAAAAATCATTGTCCCCACATGGCGGGTTTGGTTGCTCGTACATAGATGTTAATGGCATCTGTGCTAACTCTGTCCTTAGAGATGAGAAATTGGAGCCCCTGGGGAATAGGCAGGAGTGTAGCATTCTCTGTCCATAACTAGATGACTCTCTTTACCATTGACTTAGCAAAGATGTCTATGCTCTGCACTTCACTGCAGCGTGCATTTGTTAATAGTTGCAGTGGAGAATAAAGGCAGCAAAGTCTTGGGTTTCATTTCCCATGGCTTGGCTGGTGTCAGTTTGAATTATATTGTAGTGCCTAGCTGTCAGATTTGGTTCAGATATATGGGAGCGGCTTTGCTACCCGGCAGGTGGATGGGAATGGCTCACCTCTCTCTTCCCTGACCCCTGGTGCATTGTGTGGACATGTTTTTATTCTTTCTTGCAGAAAAACCACGGATGAACAATATCCTCACTTCCGCCACGGAGCCCTATGATCTCTCCTTTTCCAGGTCCTTCCAGAACCTCTCCCATCTCCCGCCATCCTATGAGGCTGCAGTCAAGACTAACCCAAGTAAATATTCTTCTCTGAAGAGATTAAGTAGGTGTCAGCTCATTTCATTTTTTTTTTGTATCTCATTAGCCTGTGAGCTGCAAGGGCATAATGACAAGGCAGTAATTCCACTTCCTTTCCTATTGCACTTGCTGCACTGACATCTCTGGTCTGCAACGCTGTTCCCTGTCACTTTCTATTGAGGCAGAGCTGCAGCGGAAAAGTCACTTCATTACCCCAAGCGAGTGATGATACATGTGGCTGTTTCCTCACTGACTTCTCTGCTGCGCTGCCTCTGATTACTCATCACAACACGCTCCCTCATCCTTACAGAGCCATCCGGTTTTCCACCTACTTTATACCAGAGATGGGGAAAGCCTGCGTGGCTCTCTCTGAACCTCCGATTGTCTCCCCAATCTGCAGTTAGAGCAGATAACTCTCTGTCTGGCTGCCCTAGGGCAGGTACTTCAGACTAAATATCAACCAAACACCAATCTCAAAAAGCTCATGAAATGATTGGAAACATTCATGTCAGTGAGGGAGGGACGCGTGCCTCCTGTATCTGGGCTGTAATCTGATCCATTTCATGGAGCTGGTGGTGGTCTATTCTATGGATTATCCCTAATACATTTCTATGTCCCTTGGAGTGTCAGTCTGTCTTTGTTCCATACTATGGATCCATTTTCACTCTGGCTAGTATCAGCAGCTTGCTGCTGATTTCTACCATGTGTTGTGTTCTGCTACCACCCTCCAGCAGGGTCCAATTCCAAACTCTTACTGATGTTGAGTACACACTTGTACACACATAGTCTCATCAGCTTCAATTGGATTACTCAGGTGAGTGCATTTGGGTATTTCCACCACAGAAAGTGCAATACAGATCTGCTTTAGGAGAAATCCCTCTCCTTGGCTCAGCACAGCAGTTGAGCATGTGCTTGACTTTAAAGCAGGTAGGAACTACTTTACCTGGTTAAGTTAAACACATGCTTTAAATGCCATGCTGCATAGGGCTGGTTTGCTGAATTAGGTCTGATTTCCTATGGTGCTGGGTACATCACTCTGAGCAGGACACCCCATCTTCTCTTGGAAGCCTTTTACCCTTTATAATCTACGGGATAAAGTCGTCATATGCCTGCTTATTGTAAATATCTCCAACGTGCCCATTCACCCCCCCTCCAATGCTCTTTGTCTCTTCATAGACAGCTTTTCTGATATAAACTGGTATGCCAGTGAAGCCAATGGATTATAATTTCAGTTTTTGAATTTCTGCTTTCTTGAGATGGTAAATGTTTTCATTTCACAGTGGAAGTCATGTAAATATATGTCTGTTTATTGATTACCAATTGAAAATACTGCCTTTTGTTCTGTAACTGATTTGCATGTGTGAGGCTCCCTGAAATGTGTCATTTGCTTTATATACTATGCCTAGGTACTGGATAAAAATGTTCTTTAGCACAGAACTAAGGATGTCGATATACCTCACTGAAACATAAAATATAGTGTATTTTAAAAAGCCAAAAAGAAAAATTTGAAAGTCTGGAAATGTAACAAAATTTGACAACAAACTGTAAGCCCTCTCCCTAGGACTTGCTCCTGTTCCCCCTACTCACACTGAGCAATCCCATTGAACTTTGTCCCGCTGCACTCTCCAGACATTAGGGGCTTGTAAAGATGTTCACTGAACTCTGCCCAGCTGCCCTACACATCTCTGATGCGGACACATTCTTGAGAACACATCACTGAAACTGCCGCTGCCCGGTGAAATGGGCCTTGATATGGTTAAATGTAGGGAGAACAGCCAAATGATAGCACTGAGTACAAACTCCTATCTACTTAGCTTTTGGCCAGGATGACCTGTGCCAAAGACTTTTCCCAAAAGACTACCAATAATTGATTACATTTCCTGTAAGGCTTAGTTCTATCTCAGTAATCAAGTAAGTAACAGCTCTCAAGAAGTCTGTTGTGTGTGACATGGCCTGTGCTGGACAGCTCTGTTTCTTTGATACAGACACAGGAGTGCCCCTTTCACAGGGACCTGGTAGTCACAGAGTACAAGTCTGAAGTCATAAACAAGAGAAAGCCCAATATCACAGTGACACAGGCTACAGTCCAGACTAATGAGCAGCCGTGTCACCCCTGCCCTGCAACCTTGGGTGCCTTACAATGCCTTGCTGAAGTAGCTCCCACCTGGGCCACTCACAAACAGCCTTCCAGCAGGCAAACCGCACCCCGAGTATTTGTGTGTAACTGCAGCCTGCCAGCCATGCATGGGTTACACTCTGGCTCTCACCAGCCTGGGTTATACTGCAAGGTGACCCCAACACACCCCAAGTCTCAGATTTTCCCCAGGAAATGTATGTCCTCTTCTGCCCAGCCCTCTCCTGGACAATACAAGTTATACCAAGTCCATTATTTCTTTAAAAAGAATAATAAGCCCACATCCTGTCACCCTAAATGGAGTTTCCTAGACACTTACACTGGATTAGATAAAACAAAAAGGTTTTAACTACAAAGAGAGAGATTTCAAATGAGTCCAAGTAATAAGGCATAAAGGTCAGAGATTGTTACAAGAAAAATAAAAAGATGATATTTACTAATACCTAATTTAACAAACTATATAAGATTCAAGCAGTTTCTCACCAAATGTCTTACTGATCAAATCCTAGAGATCAGGACCCCTCTTCCAGAGTCCAGAGAATGCTTCCTTTGTCACTTCAAGTGCAGTGAATGCAATGGGCAAGGGGAGAGTGGGAGGGTGCCTTGGGGTGTTTTTCCCTCCTTTTATAGTTTCAGTCTCCCTCTTGAAAAAATATTCCCAGCTGGGCACGAGTAGACAAAAAGTCTGTGTGGAAGGATGTTCCCGCTGCTTGTCTTCACGTGTTTGAGCTTCCCTAGTTTCCCTTCCTGCTTGGTGACTCTATTTACTGCTTAAATGAAAATTAAGCAGCGCGCCTATTCCTTTGTGTAGGACAGACCTGTTTGCCAACCTGTTTGGGCAGGACTGTGAGGTTGGGAACATGTGTTACTAACACCATACAGGGGCATCCTAAAACGTCACTGTAACGGTGCGTAGACTCACCACCGTGGTACCTCCTGATGGTCGTCTCGGGGAATTAGCTTCCAGCCTCCGGAGCGCCCTCTGTCGGCCAGTGCCTCACTTTGCCGCTGGCCCCCGTGTCCCTCCCAGACCCCGGGCAACCCTTTCACTGGGTGCTGCCCCCTGACAGTACCCCCACTGTTTCTCCAGGTCTCCCCACTCAGGGGAAGCCACACCCACTACTCCCACCTCACCTCAGTCAGAGGCTACTGCCAGTCACCAACTTGCCCCGCACACTGGGCAGACCACAGTGTAAGCCATTCATCATAGGCAAGGTTGGGTCTGGACCTGCTGCCTCTACCTATTGCTGGGCTGCCCCTTTGCACCCCCAGTACTTGTCTTGGGCCCTCAGCTAGGCCCGCAGCCTGGAGCTCCTCAACTCCTCTAGCCTTCCCCCAGCCCTGCGCCACTCCCAGTACCCTGCTCTGCTCCCTAGCAGCCAGGCCCTTCTCTCTCTACAAGCAGAGAGAGAGTGTTTGGGCTTCTGGCTCGCAGCCTCTTATAGGGACCAGTTGGGCCTGATTGGGGCATGGCCTCAGCTGTTCCTGCCTTCCTAATCAGCCCAGGCTTTGCTTCACAGCCTCAGCCCTCTCCCAGGGCTGGCTTTAACCCTTCCAGGGCTGGAGCAGGTGACCACCCCAACTACAGTCACATACACTGTCACTACGCATATTTTACCAGGACAATAATGACCAACAAATTATGAGTTTTCAGATACCACACAAGGAATACTTTGTACAAAAATATTACAATAATGTATAGGGTGTGAATACAAGGGTATAATGTCACAATCACAGGGACTGGGTCAGGTCAAGACCTTCAGCTCTGAAACTGTGGAGATGTTTGTGCACCCTACAGCTAAACCAAACAAATCCATGCCTGTGAGAATCAGACATGGGCCTAAGGGCTGCAGTGTTTATTGTGCCTACCAGCGGCAATGCAGACAGGGTCACTCTATTACAAATGCACGCTCCTGACCCAGCCCTGCCTCTCCCCCAGTCCAGCTAATACATGGCAGCCATATTCTGGGTAAGAAGCTGCACTGGTTACCTTGGATCTAAGGAAGAGAGGATTTGAGATCTAGTCTGTGGCCCTCAGCTGTGGAAGATATATGGGACCCTTAATTCATGAGGATTCCAAAGACCGTGAACAACAGAGGTTCATAGATGAGCCCTGTCCCCCAGTGCAGAGGAATGTGTGCATTCATATATTTTCTGGCAACATTCACCACAGCAGGGAATCTTTGCCCTGTGAAATGGGAACACCACCATGTCCCAATATGCATTACAGATCTGTTCACTAGGGACTCATCCATAGACTTACATCATCCGCTGCTTTGCATACCCAACAGTGGAATCATCTGGACCTTCCAGTGCCAGGCCAGCAAAAGACCCTGACTGTCCCATCAGCCCAAGAAGGTTCCTTGGCTATGCAGCCAAACACACGCCTCTAAAGTGTGGCTCTGTGGAAACGTCTTGAATTAGGCCAAATTAGGCTCCAAAACTGGATGCCTCAAATTAGGCTCCTAAATGCATATTTAAACATATCTAAATAATTGGGCTGATTTTTCAAAAGTGCAGAAAGCCCAGCATCTCCCCCTGATGTCAGAAGGAGCTGTAGATGCTCAGCACCTCTGGAAATCATCGATTTACATGTTTGAGGCTAGAATTTTCAAAGCAGTATAAAGGGAGTTAGTGCCCAGCTTTCACTGAGTTGTGGGCTCCTTTGACAATCCCAGCCCAAATATGGACTTTGAAGCCCAATATGAGCACCCAGTTTCAGAAAATCTTGGCCTAGGTGTCTTACATTGGACTCCCAATAGCTGAGATCCAGAATATTAACCAGTACTCTTGAAAATGTAACCCTTGACCTCTCTGTGCCTGAGTAGTTCTATCTGAAAATAAAGATAGTAACACTTCCCATAGAGGAGCTAAATTCGTCAAAATCTATC